CTTGACTCTTAATCAAGAAAAGTTTCTTAAGAAACTTTGGAAACAAAAAGTTTACATTTACACATATAAATGCTGTCTTTACTTTCAGGTCTTCAAAGTTTCTACAGATACTTTCAGGCTTTATGTTCCTATTTATGTTCTTTTTTTTAAACCAACAGCGTGTTTACCACTGTATGGTTACCTCTTTTATCTCCAGCAATAAAATTAATTGAAAGCATATTCAACTTACTTAAAGAGCGGGTCAGTAGTATTGTCAAATGAGTATGCTTTTTCAGAAGTAGCACATTTTTTTTAGTGGGATGTGACTCTGACAATGAAACAGTACCTAAAACTCAGCTGTATGTTAGTGTAACTTTTCTTGTTACCAAATTTTTATTTATTGTATCTATCTAATGGGAGAAGTCCCTCATCAATTCTGTTTATTCTTAGTGCAGTCCACTGGCAGCTCCATTATTCTGGGTTTTAAACAAAATCCCATTTGAGTTGAAAGCTCGTCTCAGATGCTTTCCTCATTTTATTTCCTTGGGGGTTCCCTCTGTTACTAAAAGTTATTCACATCACAAACATTGTCCAGTTGATAAGTTGTTGCCTGCTTTTTGGTTCTGTCTTTTCATTCTTATCTTAGACTGTTGTTTCTAACATACCCTCCTCCTTTAATGTCTTTCTTCAGGCATCCTCTATACAGTATTCTTTCTAATAATGGCCTATTCAACTTGGTCTGTTTGAATTCAGTTCCTAGTGTTTGTGATCTCTCTAAGATGCTCATCCAGGGTGGCTCCCGCCATTTCTTCTGCTGTGGGATACCCACATCACAGCTAATACTGATAGGACCCTAGAATTCCCATTGAACTATCTCCTGTATCATTTGTGGGGAGCTTAGGTGAACTTTAAGTCTTCTTGAAAAAAACAAAACAAAACAGGGTTTGAGGGAAGCTAGGAGGAGGGAAGTCTCTAGGCCATTCACAGTCAAACCTGTCATGTTGCCATTTCTATTTTCTTATTTCTATAACATTTACAAGAGGTAGGTCTGTGAAGCTGCTGCCTCTCGAATCTCAGTTAGAAAATGAGTCATAATGCCTTGTTACATACAGTCAGTGCTATGATTTGAATAACTACATCTCCCCCAGATTCATATGTTGAAATCCTGGCTTTCAGGTACTGATATTAGAAGGCCGGGCCTTTGGGAGGTGATGAGGTCACACGGGCAGAACTTTCATGAATGTAAATCAATGCCCTTATAAAAGAGATATGAGAGAGATCTCAGGTGATCACACAGCAGAAGGCACCCTCTATGAACCAGAAAGCAGGCCCTCACCAGACAACAAATCGGCTGGCACCTTGATCTTAGATGCCCCAGCCTTCAGACCTGTGATAAATGCAATTTTGTTGTTTAGAGGGCACCTAGTTTATGGTGTCTTGGTATAGCAGCCCACATGGACTAAGACTGTTTAAAATCTTCAAATTTTAAAAATAAATAATGTTCTCATCCTCTTCCTTGACCAAGACTTCTCACTTGCCCCATCCAAAGGTTTTTTTTTTGTTGTTGTTGCTGTTGTTCTTGTGGTGGTGGTTTTTGTTTTTTGTATATTCATATTACCTTTGGTCTCATCTTTGCTCTGAATTTTTTTTATTCCTTTTCTTTTGGTGATCAGGAAGTAGTGGTCTTGGAATTGAAATAAGGAAATGGATCTATGGCCTCTGTTTCTTTCGGGCTTTTATCATAACTGAATTTCAAACTCAAACTCTGCAGTCAACGATTGATATCTTTGTTTCTTAGTTCATTTTTGACAACCACATGATGAGCCAAATGACCACCCTGTGATTTTAAAGTTCACACTGGAGAAGTCTGGCAGGGGGTGTGGTGATTAAATTAAAGATTCATATAGAGATACACATCAGTTAAATATGGCACATCTTGTTGTAAGATTGAAGTGATCTTCATTAAAAGCATAACAGACTAATATGTCATCTTAGAAAAAATGTGACAAATGCAGACTTTAAAAAAATCACTGATCGCTATTTTGTTAATCTTCATATGAGTTCTGTTAAATCAGGGTGTTTCCAAGCAGTGCAAAAAGGAATATAAAAACCTATTCAGTTTTTCTTGAAATGATTTTGTGAGATAATTTTGACTTAGGCTACAGCTAATATAACTCATATAAGGCGAACATATATGTTGTGGCTAAGACCATCGACTGATGTCAGACTACCTCTTTTGAAATCCTGGTTCTATCACTTAATAATTGCATAAACTCTCTTAGCTTGAATTTTCTCATTTGTAAAATGAATATTAAGATAGCATGATTAGGAGGATGAAATATATTTCATATAAAGCACTTAGCAGCATGCCTAACATAAAGGAAGGAAGCAGAAATCTTTGAATAGGAACAGAACATGCAGCAGACAGAGTGCCTTATGTTCAGGCAAGAAAAATCTTGAGAAATCCCAAATAAATATAGACCACATAAGATGTATGAGTTAACAATTTTGCCCCCTCCGTCCTCACTGGGAAAAACTAAATGTACTTATTGACTCTTAATTATTCCAATGTACCATTACCAGTTGTCTTAACTAAAAAAAAATTGTAACCCTGCTTTTCTCTTGCAACTTATTAGTAGGGTCTTTTGTTTGTAGTTGCTCATTTTCTTGTGCTTTACATATGCCTATTTTGAGGTTTACAAATATGAATGCCTGGTAATTAAAGCAAAGTTTTTTATAGTCCATCACTGAGAAGAAGTTTAACCACAGGGATACATTAGATATTTGATATATTTCAGGCCACAGAGGAACTGACTTTTTAAGATTCGCATTGTAGAAATGCAGAGACGTGGAAAGAAGAAATTGAATAGATGAATTCATAATGAGAGAGCGACTTCTGTTATTCTGCTTGGAAAATTTGGGGCGATCTTAAGTAATGCAGTACTTGTCCACAGCAAAAGGCTCATGTGATTTTGAAGGAGTCATATGTCTTTGCAAAGCAAATAAGGAATTGCATTTATTTAAAAGCAAAAATAAGACAGGCAAACCACTTGATGATTACCACAGTATTCATGACTTGCAGTGCTGACATTCTATAGATTGATGCAGTCTTCAAGTGTGGAAATACTGAGTCATACAGAAGATGAGATGTTTTAAAAATGAAAAAAATATTTATATAGTCAGCAGATTGTCAGTAAAGGTGGTTTAGATTACAAGAGTTACCCAACAGAGACTATGCCAGGTTGCAAATTATTCTAACCAGAAAATGATTTGAAAATGAGGAAAGCAAACTTAGAGTGGATTGACATACCCCAGAACCTTTCATTTTATTTTTTCTCTCCCTCATTGTTCTCTTTTATCCTTCTCCCCCTCTTCTTTCGAAATGGCAAAGGAAAACTATTGCCATTTTATCAAACATAATACCAGTATGCTTGAGGAAAAGAGAAAAGGTGGAGCCGATCTTTTGGCATTCAGGAAGTGTTATGTGCTCCCGGTACACAAATGCTACATAGCACGCAGATTGTGACTTGTAATTTTATGCGGCGCTTCTTTATCTTCTTCCATTTGTTCTTTTGCCCTTTGTGCAGTCCCTTTTGGAGATGGTCTTAATGTCTCCAAACACTAATTGTGTCCAATTTTGGAATGACGTTTACATTTTACAGAATTCTTTGACTAGTTGAGGGACAAAAAATGTTGTTTCATAATGGAATAAAATTAAGCCAGATTGGCTCAATTAGCTATTCAATTTCTGACATCCATCCTGGATTTACAACAGTTTTACATTAAAGCTCAAGAAGACAACCGGAGACCCTTGCAACCACGCAACAGCAGCCTGGCTGCATTTCTACCCACGTATTTAAAGAGTTTTGCTTCATGTTTTGGTATTTAGTTTTAAACAACATAAAATCACCTATTATGCTCTGTTCTTACTCTTCCAAACAATTATACTTCAGGTACAAAATCAAAGGGAACTAAAACAGGTGAAAGATGTATTAGCTAATTTTATCGAGTCAATCATTTCACAATATATAAGTTCATCAAAGCATCTTGTTCCACATCTTAAATATATACAATTTAAATTTTCAATTACTCTTCAATGAAGCTTGAAAGACAAAAACAAAATGAAAGTAACTTCAAGTAGGTGCAAACTGAAGGTGATATGTGAATTGCCCATAACAGAGATCAGTCAATTAACTGTATAAGGCACAGATAAGGGTCATATTTCCTGTTTTCTCTTTGATAAACTTCTTACTGATTTTAGCTTTTAGTTGGAATTAATCTATGTCCCATTAATTTGTGTTTACCTTCCTTTTGTCACTATTTTTAACTTCGAAGTTTTATTTTTTTGCTATGTAGTATGATTTTTAAAATCCATTTTAAATACTCTTTGGAGGAAGATAAACAAGTAAATTAATAAATAGAATATACGTCTGGACTCATAGTTATGAACCAACTATATTTATTTTACCGACAATAGTAGACTCAGTTTTTAGCCATCTAATTGGTTGCCCTAGTTTATAGTAATCCCATTGTGGAATACATTTCAAAATAACAACAGAATTTATTTATCACATTGGTCTAAAAGAGTAATTTTGATCGTTACTGAAAGTATTAATTGAAGCACTGAAAAAATGCTTGAAAGATGGTTTATGTCTTTTTCTCTCCCAACATCACCTCCTTTTGAAATTAAAAATAAAATGTTTCATTCATTCTATTTACTACTCCCTCATATTTCAAGCAAAAAAAAAAAAAAAAAAAAAAACACAGCAAAGAATTTGCGTTATATCAGTAGCACTGTTTTAGTCTTGTGTTTTTACCACATATTGTGTTAGCTGGCTTTTTGAAAATTGTGACCTCCTGCACAGAATTTGCTTAGAGATCAGATTGTCTTCAGCTCAGACATCACTGTTGCCTGGATTATTTTTTCGGTTTCTACATCCAATGCATTGCAGATTATGCTAATTTTTGGTGCTAAATGTATTAATGTTCTTTGTTTTTTCCCCACTGTTATTTTTTTACAGGTCTACAGCATCAAGATAAGAATAAGGAATCACCATGGTACTGAAACATACCATCTTACTGAGTTAGGTCGCAGCATGAAGCCAAGGGCCCACTGGGAAAAGATGGCATCAGGGTTTTCCATTCAGCAAAAGGACATGAAACATATGGAAGGAGAAGACAGTGTCATGCGGTTGACTTTGGTTTTTGGCCTTTCTTTGAGAAAGCAGGGTGGGTCCTAGACATTGAAGAAAAGCATTTTTACCTGTGTTTTTTTTTTTTCCTCATCTGAGCCTTTGCCACTGTGCAACTCTCTCTTTTTGTTATCTTGCTTTTATCAATATATAGCTAAGTTTTGTTACATTGTGATTTTTTTCAACCAACCGCCTTGTCAGGAAAGGATGAACCATAAATTAAAAGGCTCATTCTTTCAGGAATACAAGTTTGTAGCTCTATGTGCATCTATTTTTGTAGAAATACAAAAAGTTTGGTTTAGAATGGATGGGCTATTTTTGAGGGATGTATTTTTTTTAATTTTGTAAAAATTGTTGAGTTCTGTTTAAAGAACTTGCTCTCAGAGAAGCACTGGCAAAAATGTTCAAAATGCTTATCTCTAAGATGTCTATGATATGCTCTGTCTGTGCTTTCTAGGTTACCTCAAATGTTTTATGTACTTTTCTTTTTACAGAAGTAGCTATACCGTAGTCAAACCAATGCAGTATTGTTTTTATATTGAATCTCAGTAAAGATTTAATTCCATGCTAGCTCAATTCGTTTTGAATTATATGTTTAGCTTGAAAAGTGTTTTTTTAATGGCCACACTAAAGAAATGATATTTTATTACTTTGATTTCTCCCAAAGAGTAACTTGGAGGTTGACTAATAAGAAAGTTTGCATAAACTTTCAAACACCTGAGGAGTTTGTCTAGAGGATACTTCTCTTTCTAGCGCATTCAAATTTGATAAATGAAACCAGAGGTTATATACAACTACTAGGGGAAAAAACTGCATTTAACCATGCTCCCTGCGAGTGCCTGTGGCTCATTTTGCTTGTTTCTAATTATTCATTCATGGCAACTTAAAAAGTCATATTTTAAGTGGAATTTGTTTTTTCTGAAGAGCAGTTGAAGGAACAATATCTGGGAAGGTACTAGAGAAATTACAAGCTAGCTCTTTGCCATAATGCCACCTATCCCTGTAATGTGTAGTTTAAACGCAAAACTTAACAAGTCTTTTTTTGTTTGTTTGTTTGTTTAAATCTGGTTTTTACTTGACTCGATTCTTTTTTAGAAATTTAGAGCAAAATAAAGTGTATATTAGGATTTAAATTTATGACGCAATTTAAAAATAAAACCAGAGGTTATATACAACTGAAATTGGGCTAAAATTAAAAATCTGAGGATTTAGCCTGATATGGCTCTCATAATTTAAATAAAGTGAAGTTGAAATTATCATTAAGACACTGCTAGGAGAAGATTCAGATTATGAAAGTGGCAGTTATTGATAAATAGGACTTCAAAGGCAAAGTTCATTTCTTCCTTCAACTGCTTCCAGAGATGTCATGTAAAAAAATTAGTGGAATATGGAAGTGTTTTAGTTTTATAAAGTGGTTTTTTCAAATTTCTCTCATCTTTCTCCCTACCCACATAAAATAGTACGTTCAGTGAAATGCCACGTTCTCTCTTTAATTGTCTGTATCATATATGTCAACTTTTTAAACATGAACATGGCATGTTCCACTAGGCAGAGTTCTCATAGGTAATTTTCAAATATATTTCTTGGCTGTAATTTACGCATTTGTTAATATTCTATCCACCTTTTGAGTTTTCGGTCTGCACACTCTCTTGCACTCTCGTGACTCCGCATTTTGCTGTTTCTTATCTAGACTCTCTTTTACACAACATGCACATTTTGACCAATGTCGGGTCCAAACTTAAGATACCTTCCACTCACTAATAATATGAACTTAAATTTCCTAGGAGTAGCCAGTTAAATTTTCTATGCTTTGGTCAATAATTTGATTTGATAGAATGGTTTAATTATAATTTGCCCAAATACGTGGAGCACAGAATTTAGTGAACCTATAAATCTGATTTTTTCTTGTGTCCTTCTGAGTTTTCAAAGAAGAGTATTTGACAATTCCCATGTGATGACTCACAGGGTTATTTGCTTCATCTACCTTTGGAATACATTAACTTTCTTTGCAATTTCTTGGAAAGTTGTGTTGTACTCAAACTCATTCAGATCATTCCATTGGATTTTCCCAATGAAGAGGAGAAGGAAAGTAATTACTCCTTGCTCCATTTCTTATTTTCCACCAAATTTAATTGAAAGGCAGACAGCAGACAATTAGATGTCTTCACTCTGAGTGTAGACTTTGTTCTGTGTCTCTCCCGGTAACTGTCAGATAAAAAATATCTTGGCTCTGAGGATCTGAGGAATGTTGGGAACCTGATTTCTGCTGTACAGAGGAAAGGTTTATAAGTGAGCTCTCTCTTTGAAAACAGGATCCAGGCTGGGTGTGGTGGCTCATGCCTGTAATCCTAGCACTATGGAAGACAGAGGCTCAGGAGGATTGCTTGAGCCCAGGAGTTGAGGATCAGTCTGGGCAAAATAGGGAGACCCTATCCCTACGAAAAATGTCTTAAAAATTACCTGGGCATTTTGGTGCACACCTGTTGTCCCAGCCACTCTGGGGGCTGAGTTGGGAGGACAGTTTGAGTTTGCAGTTTGTAGTGAGATGTGACTGAGTCACTGTACTCAAGCCTGGGCAACAGAGAAGGATCCTGTTTCAAAAAGAAAAAGGAAAAAGAAAACAGGATCTCGGTGTTTAGCATTGATTGCTACTCAGGGAGTGGATCAAAAATATAAATAGAAAGAGAATGAGAACATCTCTATAATTGTCTGGCATCCCCTTGCTAGGACCATATTGCTATTACCACCAAAAGTCCTAAAAGAGAATGGGTTACAATTTAGCATAATATTCTGAATTCATTCCAAGTTTAAAATTCTGTCATTCTCTGGCTCTTCTTTTTTCACATTAAAATGATGCTGTTGGACTTAGAGGCTTCTGAACTGCTTTATTGAGGGCTACCAACTGCCTCCCCAATTTTATATAAAACCACTCCACCTTTAGACAAAGGTGGCTTTGTCGGATTTTACAAATCAGATTTTATTCAAGTTTTCTAAATGTCTGTGAACTAGATTCTAGAAAATCATCTCATTTATTCTAAATAGAATCTATGCTTCTACCAATAAACCATCAGGAGCTGAAAACAACATAATACTGACAAATCAGGAACCTAACATATTAGGTCTCGCATAGTTCATTTGAAAGAGCTTCTAAACTTTTGAGAAATCCATGTTTCTTCTCAAGAAAGTTAAGCACCCTCTCTTAACTTTCCCCTCCATTTGTTCTCCTTTCTCTTTCCTCTTAAGAATATTTATATTATTTTGTTAAGCAAAAAATGGACAAGATTGCTCTAAAATTTGCAGAATGAGAACTAGTGGATTGCAAATAATTGAGGGATTTATTTCTTTAACTTTATAAGACTTAAAAAAACCCCACAAAATTCTAGGAACTGACATGGAAGTTGCCTTTGAGAAACTTGTTATTCATTATGCAAAAAAGTATTTGCCAATTCCTATTCTAAGATTTGCAGACTATGTCACACTATCTAGCTTTTGAGTTTGCTATCTGGTTTAATGTTGTATTTATAATTTGAAGTGGCAATCAGAAACTATATTTCAAGAACCTGTGTTCTATCCCTTACTGAGTGTTCCTTCTTTAAATAGTGTTGGCTGAATCAAACCAGTGGGGGCAGTGGCATTAAGTGGTGGTAATAGGAAAGTACATATGTTAGAGTTTTGACTGAGGGATAAATAGAGAAGCAGAATGAATTAATGGAAAAGAATTTGGTTGTTAGGCCATCCTCTGAATTCTAGCTTAGCCACAATTTTGCATGTGGTTTGGGGCTTCATTTATTTTTCTCATGACAAAAAACGGACAATACCTAACAAGAAGGCTGTGGAAGTTGGAAATCACACACACACACACACACACACACACACACACACACACACACGATCAATCATCTGGCTCATGTTAGATGTTCAATAAATAACAGCTACCACAGATGCCTATCAGTTGAGTAAGTGGTTCACTAAATTGAGCTGCCAAAGATCTCTTCTCTTCACATCGATAACTGTTTCTGCAGGAATCAAATAGATATATGATTGTTTTTCTGTAAGAAATTACTGCAAAAAGTATATTTTTCTCCTACTAGCTGTTCCTCCTACCAGGTATAGGAGATAAATGTACATTTCTTAATGAGCTGACTTTTTAGCATGTCGTTTCTGAAGGAAAAATAAATTAGCCTTAGAGAGGCGTGTCGGTCCAACTCAGTTTTCTTACATATTCTAAAATTTTATTTATCCAGGACCCTATAAATTACTGTGTCCTAAATTATGAGGACAGTGTCATTTATTCACCAAAGTTTATATTTTTCAGTTATATAGCCAACTTCCTTGGCACCTAGGATAAGAACATTTTTTTTTTGCAGTTATCCATTTCTCTTTTAAATTTTACTTGACTTACAGGAAAGTTGAAAAATACTGTGGAAAAAATCTTCTGCATGAAAAGGGAGAAAGAAAACAGAACCATTTACGATCTCAGTCAGCAGATTTACTCTACTCAAACAAAAAAAGAAACAACCTTATTGGAAGCAGATGTTGACACTGTGTCAGTTATTGAAGATGGAGGGAGTTCTCTTGAGCCATTGCAGTTACAAAGGGGTATTGATGGCAGTTTGAATTCCTGATTGATCACCCTTGCAGCCAAGAGAAAGAAAGCAGAAACTGTATGGGATCAGAAATGAAATCAGCCTTCCAGTTTAATGTAGAGGATGTTAGAAACTCAGTTTTTTTCTTTATTTCCTGTAGGATAAAAGATATCTTTTAGAAAAGGTAAGACTTGGTGGAGAGCAAAATCACAATTTATTCTCTAAAAATATGTAAAGGCCAAAGAGCTCTTTAAATCTGTTATGAAAGCATTAAAACTATTATTAAAATCGTTTTAGAAAAGTTAGGCTAAATTTTAGTTCAAAAACCATGTTGAAAACAAACATATAACCTATAAAAAAATGAATGGCTCTGGCAAGTGGGGGCATGAGTGGAGCCTATAAGGACACCTCAGTCTCAATAGCTTCAAAACATTACTTTCCTGAGTAGCTTGGTCATGGAGACTGGTCACAGTACAGACATTTAGAATTTTTAGTATATTTTTTTCCTTTTAATCTCGTAGTGCTCTCTGGGAATTGCACCGTGTACACTTTTCCAACCTATAGAAATCATCATTATTGTTAAAATATCTTAATTTTCCTATTTCTTTTATTGTCTATTATGCTTTTCTGATTAAAAATATTTCCATAGTTTCAAAGTATTGGTCAAAGTAGTATTCTCTTGAAGTTGTAATCAATTTAATTTTATCCAATGAGTTTATCTGAATCTCCTTTTTAAGTTCCAAGAAATTCTAATATAAATAAGTGTACTTTTACCAATTCCATTGTATAAGAAAACAGATACCTTTTAGAAAATGATAGGTCATCATCAATTCATTGTTTTAAAAAGCAATTTATGCACTACTAAATTTGGGATAAGAATAATTCTTTTAACATGCAAGATTCTTTAATTAGATTTTGGGTATATGCATAAGGTGTGAACTTTTCTATTGATATCTCTTTATATTAATAGAGATGTACATTTTTTCCTATGCTATGGCTAGAGCAAAAGTTATTAATGATTATTTACACACGTGATTTAATTTCTTAGCAAATGTACAAAATTTGTTATTATATCTGATTTAAAAATACTATTCAGTACATTTTTTTTGAGAGATAATGCATAGGGGAAGGTTTCCATGCGAATTCTTTGTATCACTTTAAAGTGCATATATTTAAAGGGAAGATATGAATTCAGTTTGTTTTTATTATATAAATTTAGAGAAGGTGAAATGCTTTTGTGAAAAAAAAATACAGTGTAGTGAATTTTATATTTGTCACTTGATTAGGTAAACTGAAAACTAATAATAGAAATATTATTTTACTGCTTTGAAATACAATGATATTTCAGACTTGTTAATTCTATAAGCAGTTATGCTACCTTAATTTTGTGATTCTAGAAATAAAAATTAATCTTAGTTATGCTGTCATCCTTAATTAATAA